ATATCAACAAACTATGAAAATTGATATTTTATTTGTATTGATTTAGAAACAAAAAAAAAGACAATGAATTTGTAAATTGTTGCCATTAGAAACAAGTCGTCTAAACTATTGTTGTTAGATGATAACATATTTTTTATTTGTTGCCGTTGGAGATACTCTTCTTATTTTTTGTTTCTATAATGACATCAAATTCTAGTTTATTGCCATTAGAAACAAGTTGTGTTGCAGTTTGTTATCAATCGATATGTGGGAAACTTTTATATTTGTTGCCATTAGAGATGCTCTTCTTATGATTTTTTACTATAAAAACATCAAATAGAGACGGATTTCAATTCCGTCTCTAAGTTAGAGACGGATTTCAATTCCGTCTCTAAGTTAGAGACGGATATTTTATTTCTCCCTAATTTAGAGACAAATTTTTCAATTCTTTCTCTAATCTTATGTTTACTTATTATCAATTTTGTGCATAGAAGTAAACAAATAGTATTTTGTATAGTTGGTAAGAGTTTCACTATGTGACTTTTAGGTGACAAATTTGACTCCTACCAACTACGATTCTTGAGACTGGAAATTCAAAGAGCCTTACATGCAAAGCCTTGTGAGTTGACCCAAGTGAGGTTTCCAATTGGTAAACAGATCGGGTTGAACCGAATAGCTAATAAAGATCAGGTTTATGTCTTGTAGTGTTGATAACAACCAATATTAATGATTTGTTGCTATTTTATATTAGGAACCAACATGAATAATTTGTTGCTATTTTTATAAATCAACATGAATAATTTGTTGCTATTTTTAAGAACCAACATTAATAATTTGTTACTACTTTTAGTAACAGCCAATGGTAATGTGTTGCCAAAATTGGCAACAAATGCACCAAGAAAAACAATCATCATGGAAATTATATTAAAATGCATGCAATATTGCAACAAAATTATTTTGCAACTAGTAAACAAAATCCCATGGCTTAGCAACAACAAATTTTGGTTTCCAACTCGTTGCTAACTAAAGTTAGCAACATAATCTTTGTGAATAACAACAAATTTTAGTTGTTGCTATATTGACTTAATTTTGTAGTAGTTGATTGGGGCAAGTGGTGCAAAGGGCCGGTTTAGAATAATAATTTTACCAACTCTCCCACATTGATGGGAGAGAAGATTTCACTCATGAGTTTCCCTATAAATACCCAACTTGGGGTATGGGAAAACTCACTTGAGTAAGAGTTAGAAAAGGCATCTCCATTGAGAAAAGCTTTAAACTCATAATTACTCGAGTAGTTTTGTCGGACTTGGATAACCTCCAAGTAATAGACCTAGTCAAGGTCGTGTTGCGGGTGGATACCGTAGGAGGTTTTCGCCCATTGCGAGACATAAGCTTTCTCAAGTAAGAGCTCGATGAACGAGCAAAGAACGCTTCAAAGGTATTTTCGTCTTTCCTTAATTCTTGTTAATTATGTCTTTTGATTATGTTAATTGTGAGTGTGATCTTGGCTCGGGTTTTATTTTCCGCGATGAGTCGGACTCAACAAAACCCAACAGCGGTATTAAAGACTTGCTCATTTATTTTTATAATCATAATTTTCAAGATGTTTTCATGGCTTTATTTTTCTGGTTTTATGTTGCTAATTAGATTAGTAGCTTGGTTTTATTTATTTTAATCCCGTTTTAAAGCTGTTTTTCGCCCTAAACCCATATTTTCGTCCGTAATAGTTAATTTTTTGTGGAAAAGGCATTCTAGAAATATTTTCACTCTTTTAGGACTATGTTTTAGGCCAAAATCTGACCAGAAATATTAAAAGACCTAGGACTATGTCTTTCTAACCTTGAATCTTAATGGCATATTTATGGTGATTATGTATATGGTTCTTTCCTTCATGTTTCTACATTTTTGAACTTCTATAATCATGGTTACTTGGTAGTAATTAGTGCTTGAAAGATTGGTTAAAATTTTTATATAATTGCAAATACATTGCATTTAGTGTGAAAATTTATTCTTTGAGGCTTCTAAGTACTAAAGATCTAGTCTTTAATTGTTTTAAGTGGTTGGAACTTTGAGTTGCTAATATCCTTGAATTTTGGTTGAACTTTTGATTTAATCATGTGTTAAGTTGATTTGAATCATAAAATTTGAATCTAGTGATAGAAATTTCATTTATCTTCATATTGGAAGATATAATTTTTCAAGGATTAACAAGTTAAAGTTGGAATCTTTATTTGAATATTTGCGTTCATAATTCCAACTCACCTTTATTTTGTCAAAATCTCATTATTAATTTAAATTAATTAAATTAATAGTCAGTAATTGCCCTTGTTTATTTTATTGCACCAAGTTGAACAAATTTTATTAAAGAATGGTACTTGGGAATAATTTCGGTTTTGTGCATTTTGATGATTTTTTTTTATTTAAGTTGGACTTGTAATAATTTTTCATTTTTTCTCATTAAATTAATTCTAAAAATCGATTTGGAATTAATAATTGAGTCACGCAAAATTTTGAGTTAAAACCCGAGAGTGTGGCACGCAAACCAAGGACCAACACCCTCGGCAAGTCGGGCTACCTAGCAACTCACATGAATTTTGGTTGAACTTTTGATTGAATCATGTGTTAAGTTGATTTGAATCATAAAATTTGAATCTAGTGATAGAAATTTCATTTATCTTCATATTGGAAGATATAATTTTTCAAGGATTCACAAGTTAAAGTTGGAATCTTTATTTGAATATTTGCGTTCATAATTCCAACTCACCTTTATTTTGTCAAAATCTCATTATTAATTTAAATTAATTAAATTAATAGTCAGTAATTGCCCTTGTTTATTTTATTGCACCAAGTTGAACAAATTTTATTAAAGAATGGTACTTGGGAATAATTTCGGTTTTGTGCATTTTGACGATTTTTTTATTTAAGTTGGACTTGTAATAATTTTTCATTTTTTCTCATTAAATTAATTCTAAAAATCAATTTGGAATTAATAATTGAGTCACACAAAATTTCGAGTTAAAACCCGAGAGTGTGGCACGCAAACCAAGGACCAACACTCTCGGCAAGTCGGGCTGCCTAGCAACTCACATGTGGCTGCCAAGAGGGTTGGTGTGCTTGGTGAGCGCCACACACTCCTAGTGTGGCTATTGTCTGCTAGCAACATGGCACACCCAGCTAGCCAGCAAGCCGTAGCCAGTGCACCGCAGAAGCAACAAGTTGCTAGCTGTGAGTGCAGCTTGTGCGTGGCCTTGGCTGAGCGTGCATGCGTGTTGCAGAGAGTGTATGGGATGTGTGTGTGTGTGTGCATTTTGGTGCGTTGCGAAGGGGCAAGCAGCCTTGTGCGTGTTGCCTTGCACCTTGCAACCCGCAGCAAACGCTACTAGGCTCGGCCTAGCTAGTGTTATGTGGGGTGGTGCGGGAGCACGCACCAAGCCGCATTCCCCTAGGGGTGCTAGGCCCCCTTGGCTAGCAATGGTGCGCCTTATCTTGTCTAGGTGTGCGAGCCACTTGCGTACAGTTGGCTACGTGTTTTCTTATTTTGCCGTTTTTTATTATTCTAATTAACTTAATTATTTTGGTTTTAATTATTTTAATTAAATTTTGAGGCTAGGCCTCGGTTTTGAGCGGCATTGGCAAAAATATTTTACCGACTTAATTAATTGGATTAATTAAGATGGATGCGGAATTTAGTGGAAGTTTCATTTTTAATAGCGCTAAATTACATAATGGGTTAAACAACTTTGACTAGTTTTAATTAGGCGTGTTAATTGGATTAATGACCTAAATTAGATACTAGTTTACGCGTGTTTGTGCATTGTTACTTGTTTTTAGTTGTAAAATGCATGGGCCATTAACAAATAGTGAATGGATGAATGGAATGTTTATTCTCCTACGGGTTTTATAAAAATGACAACTAGTGGGGCCCTATTAGTATAGAAAATATAGACTGCGTTCCGTGACGTATTTTTGTAAATCTAAGTACTGTTTGCAAACCGTTGAGTATTTTTGTACCTTAATATTTAAAATAGTTCTAATCGTAGATACTAGTGTTTGCATAATTTTTGTTGTGGCTTGAAGACGGAGGTTCTTGGAGGACGAAGCCATGAAGTTGCAAAAGACGTCCCATGAAGACTTGAAGACTCAAAGGGTCATGCTAGTTCCCAAATGCATCATTGTTTATATTTTCGATATATATATGTATTCATGATTATATATATGTGAATTATATGTTAGATGCATGTTTAGGATTTCAAATGTTGCGATGATTAATTAAGTTCACTTAAATCAACCAACACAGAAACCCTAAGTCCATAAAATATTGAGTAAAACTTCCATTCCAAAACAACATTTATCGACCTATTGAGAGTAGTGATGGGCTACGCCAAAGTGAGGCATCACTATTACTCCCTATGATACGTAAGGCATACCGGGTATGCAAGTTGGTTTTGGTTATACTCAACGATATGAGTGATGGAGTCCTAACATGTCGTGGCAAAGTGGATAAGATGTTGAGAGAGAATTAGATGCAACGATTTATCCTACCAAGAGTGGCTTGGAGCCATTAGCAAAGAGTTGTGTACCTTAGAATATTGAGTGTTAAGACAAGCTAAAGCATGCTTAACTACTCATTGTTTCTTTGGATCTTGGAATCAAATTATTCTCACCAAATGGGGACAATTTAATGTGTGAATAAGACGTTTAAATAAATTTGATTAAAAATGCATGATTTCAATCTTATTTAAGTATTATGAATGGTTTTTCATTTTAAATTCTTTCAATTGTAGTGATGTAGGGAATATTTCAAGCATCCCACACTTGAGCCCCACTGTGATCATACACTTAAGTATGGTGGCGTCCAAAGGGAAGGAAGCTAAAGCAAAAGAGTCGCAAACAAGTTTTAGGAACTTGTAAACCGTTCACAGGGTGAAAGTTATACCCCTTCACGATCCATGAGAATGCTAACTCCATAGTGGTCTGGAACCATGACCGGATATTCGGGGATGAAGCTACAAATCCAACCTAAAAGAGATTGAACTTGCCCTAAAAACAGGCCTCTACTTTATGGGAAATTCTCTATGGTAACCCCCAATTTGTGTAACACTGAAATGGTGACCTCCTTTTTTCATAAAATGACCCTACTTATAAAATTAATCATAGTTATAACATTAATCATCATATTAGATATAATATGATTAACTATGGTTAAGTTTTTCCCTCCAAAGGGACTTACCACCTGTTATAAAACATCGAATCCTCTCTCCTTCCCTATTCTCCCTCTTTAAACCCTTATTTCCCTATTCTAGAGATTTGCCACACACCACCCAGACATCTTTGTTCACTAAGACTTACAGTGAGGATGGACTTACCATCTTGGATCTCATATCCATCATCACTAGGGTATTCCTTACATGCCCAAGATTCTTGTGTCATTTCTTGCAGCCTCTTCAAAATGTTAGGACATATGTCATTGTCATTCCAATTTGCTGCCTTTTGTTTCCTATTGCACACTCTCACCATTATTGCTCTCCTTATACCTAAAATAAGACAATTGCAGTATAAATAAGTCACAACTGAAGCATTTGCAAGTGTATATGTGATGAATGTTTACAAAGTTACCTTCTAACAAAGTCAGTACAGGTCTTGCTCTATCAATTCCTAGAGTTGCATTAAACTTTCAACAAAATTACTTTTGTTAACATCACACTTGATTTCCTCATTAAACTTATGTTTAGTCCAGGTGGACTGTTCCCCAGCCTTTGAAAGCCATATCAATGCAGCAGGGTTGCCTTTTTGTTGTTGCTCCATGGCTTTTCTGAAAGTGAAATCAGAATATGCATCACAAGCTTTCCAAAACGAACTGAACATTAGTGGCCCAGGAAAGACCTTTTTCTAATTTTTTACCAAATGCATACAACAATACCTCCTTCCAACTTTGGGACACAACTCTTTCAGAGCTGCTTCTATACCCTATGAAATAGTTTAAAGCAAAGTATTAGGTTCAAAGCAAAGCGAAAACATAAAAAAAAACATTAAGTGAAGGGAATTATACCTTCTATCTATCAGAAATAATGCACCATTGATCACCTCTTCCACTATCCTTCAACAGATTCTTTAAGTGCCACACAAAAAATTTCCAGTTGTCTGTATCCTCTGTAGACACAATTGCCCATGCAAAAGGGAATAACTCATTATTTGCATTAAGTGCAACTGCTGATAAAAAACTCCCCCATAATTTCCTTTCAAGTGTGCCCTATCCACACATATAAAGCTCATACAACCATTAACAAGTCCACCAATGCAGCCTTTGAATGAGATAAATATGCTGATAAATTGCAGTGGCCTGTCAACATGATCAATTGGAGTCCATGCACAGAAAGTAGTTAAATCCTGGGTTTGTTGCTCTGACCATCTCACAGTAAGCTGGTAGATGATTGTATGAGGTGTCATGACCTCCATGTATCTCTCTTAGAGTGATAGGTCCTATTTTGCACATGTTTTAGGTGGGTATCTAAGCTCATTTGATTACAAAATTAGAGATCTTTAGTGCAAATTTGCATTATTTGCTTAAGTTATGCTCTACTACTCTTCGTTTGTGTGTTTTGATGAATTTCAGGTGATTTATATGCAAATGGAGTATGGTTGGCTAATATTGAGTATAATAATCATGGAGTATGAAAACATATTGCTTAAGAATATCAAAACATGTGTTCAAGACGAACTTGAGTGAAAATGAAGCAAAACGTTGATGAAATACTTGACAAATATGACACCTGTTCACTTTTATGCTCATAACTTTTGATATACAAATTATAATGGAGTGATTCAAATTGCATTGGAAAGTAGACTTGAAGACCTTTCCAACGATATATTACACGCCTCAAACGGGCTCCGGATATGAAGTTATGACTTATTTAAGATGAGTTAAATACAAACTATTTGCTGCAGCCTCTACGTGCCCGATCGGGCATGGTCCGCCCGGTTGGACCGGGCACATAGGAGTTAGATGATTTTTGGTATTTTCGAAGGTAGCAAGCAATTTATGAAGACCGCCCCACGCGCCCGATCGGGCAAGGTCCGCCCGGTTGGACCGGGCATGTGGTGGAAGAAGTGCTACGAAGGAAAGCAACTCCGTACTCTCACCGCCCGATCAGGAGGTGCTTGCCCGGTTGGACCGGGCACAGTTATGCGACACTCTGTATTATTATTTTCTTATTTTTAGGTCATTAAGGGTATAAATACCCCTTGTAATCTTCATTAGAAAGAAGTTTTTTTTTTCCTTTAGTCCTCTTTCTCTCTCTAGAGTTCTAGTTTATTACTTTGAAGCAATTTTAATTCTTTCCATTAGATTTGAGCATTGTTCTTCAACAATTTAATTCCTTTCAATTGAAGAATCCTTGGTATTCACTTCTACTTCATTCTCTTTCAATTATAATTGCTTTTCAATTATGTTTTCCATATTTATGATTGTTATTGTTTCTTTCAATATGTGTGAGTAGATTTTCTATTCCAAGATCTAGGGTAGCCCAATTATGATTGATGCATGAATTAAAACTTTAAATTCTCTAATGACTTTTACAATTGCTATGCTAATTTGATTGTGATTATGTCAATACTAGGTTAGACGTAATCTTAGTATTGTGATTATTCCATTGTTTCTATCACAACGAGAGTTGGATTTAAACGGATTTGAGTAGATCAATTTAGGGTTTGATTTTCAACATGAGAATAGTTGGGTTGATGATTGGGAAGTGAGAGTAATGTGTTTAATGTCTCTAATATGCATGATACCATGAGAATAGGCTTGATTGTATGTTAGGGAAGCCATTGATACTCGAGAGAGGTCCTTGGTATTGATTAAGGTTTACTTTTCCCCGTTCAATTGGAATTGTATGTTAGGGGTAGAAATATAATCGCATCATTCGTAATTGTGGTGATACTTGATCTTGGATGTTTTAATTATTTAATTTCTTCATATTCTTTAGTTTATTTTCGAATTTTCCATACATTAGTTCTTTAGTTAATCGATCATTGTTGAATTCTGCTTAGTAATTACTTGAGTCTAAATAGTTATTGGTGAACCATAGTCTCTTGGGATTCGACCCTTACTTGCCAGTCTACATAGTAGTGGTTAGTTAGGTTATTTTTGCTAGGTGTGCGACACGCCTATCATAGAGCCATGCTTCTCATCCTATGTAATGAACATGCTGACATTTGCACACCATACCTTTGCCACAACAACTGATTAAGTGACTTTGCTGGAATATCATTATGTTCTCTGATATCCTCCATTAATACCCTAGCTGCCCATTTGGTTGTAACCATTGGATTCCTTACCTCCAACCCAGAACAAGTGTGCTCCATACTTTTTATGCTCTTAATAGCCCAAGATACCCCATCTGGAAGCATGCAACCTCCACTCACAAATATTAGAAGAACACCTCATAGTCCACCTAAAGTTACTTCCTTTATCCAGAACCACAAAAAATCCACTTTGGATACAATAGTCTACACCACATCCCTTAAATGTTTCTTGTCTATAAAAATCTGCCAAGGTTTGATGACTATTTTCCCAAATTCTTCATCATTGTAAATCTCCCCATTGTTATAAAGCCTAGCAAAATAGTCCTCAGCCTCTTTTTCATTTTCCCAAATCGGGCCTTCCCATGGATCAAACTCATCATTTATAGCACCATCATCTTCTACTTCCATTTCATCAAAGTCATCATCATCTCCATCATCAATGCTATCATCATCATCAAAACCATCATTGCCACCCAAATCAGCATTCTCCTCAACATCATCTTCACTGTCTACATTCAAGGTATAACCTTCTCCCAAACTAACAGTGTTCTGGATTGAAAGATTAGTCTGTGAATCAGAGCTGGACCAATCACAAGACCCTTTCTCTTTGCTGTGGTCCTAGGAACTCTTCTACCTATGGATGCAGCTGTGTAAAAAGACCTTGAAGACCCCCCTTATCTTCGAAATTCCCACCTCTGATCATATGCACTTCTGACATAGGTGGGACCATGACACTTTGGTTATCAACTCTTATTGTTTTGGTTAGCTCACCATGGGTTTGAGCCCTCTTTTTAGGGCTTCTTCTCAGTATTTGTACAGGTTGCAGTACTAGTTGCTCAACTACCATAGGTGCCTTTCCCTTTTGATTTTTTCTTGCTGAACTTTCTACCTTAAACTCTTCAATTTGCTTGTTGTACATAGCCACCAAATCTGGATCCTGCAAATCCAAATATCGCTCACCTCTTCCCCTCCCTTTTCCTCTCCCTCTTCCCCTACCTCTCCCCCTACCACTCCCTCTACCTGCCCCCTCATCAATCTTTTCCCTACCATCACTCTCTTCCCTATCCCTGAGAATATCAGCAAATGTGATTTCATTATGTGGACTATATGGGTCATCATCCTCATTCACTAGGTTATTAACTTGAATGTGGGTTTCTCTTCTTCTAGATGTGAGTTTCTTAGCCATAATTGTTTATTCAACAACTACAGGTTTCTTGAAACTTCCCTCCTGCCCTATCAAACTTCTTCTAGGTGGCACAACACTACTGTCAGCAACTATGTGGCCCATATCTCCCACATTCTGGTTCCCCTCACTAGCTAGTTTAGAGTCTCTCAAAGTTCTAGCAGTCTTTATTAACTGACTAGGTTCTACTGCATCACCAACCCATATGTAAATAAACTCTTTTCCTGGTAAGTTACTGAACATTTTCATCAAATCCCTATCATTATTCAATACCACATGCTTCATTTTGTAAACATATTGAAAACTAGGATGTTTAGGTTGGGGTTTACTACTTTCTGTAGCCTTATCCCAATACTCAATTACTAAGTCAATTAAGTTCACTTTGTCAATGTCCTCAACAACCAAATCAACATCATCCCCCCTATATTGAAACCTTAAAACCACAGCATCACTCATTCTGTGTTTTTCCCCAAAAAAAAAAAAAAAAAAACAAAATCAATTTTAGAAGCATTTCAAATTATCAGCAACATCAACAACCACAATCATAGTCAAACCAAGAAACATCGCAATACCCAGAGTACATAAATAGCAAAATTCAGGCTGAAATAACAGGGTACATAATACGCATAAATAAAAAAAAGAGAGAAATCAAGATTAAAGCTAAATAACCATACCTGATCGTATTAAAGTTTCAAAGTTGCATAAAAATTGAGTCTTTCGCCAAGCCCTCACACCCACAGCACCTATTTCGCAAGCAATTTCACCACTAACAACTACCCACAATTTTTCCTTTTCCCTTTCGGAGTTCTCACATTCAATTTCTCATAATTTAATGGCCTTCAACCGTCGAATTTTAATGGGATGAATTAAACACTTCTGGGGTTTTTTGTGTCTCGATGTTTTGATGGGACTGCTTATGGTTATCGAGGGCAGAAGATGAAAGGAATTAAAGAGGGGATGGAGGGAATTGTATGTTGTTGGTTGAAATAAAAAAAAGGGTACTTCTGTCTTTTAGTCTGTTTGTTAACCATAGTTAATCATATTAACTCTAATATGATGATTAATGTTATAACTAGGATTAATTTTATAAGTAGGGTTATTTTATGAAACAAAAAACAAGGAGGTCACCATTTCAGTGTTACACAAATTGGGGGTTACCATTGAGAATTTCCCCTACTTTATTCTTCTCATATTCATGTGCGCTTTTTCACTAACATACAATCAATATATTAATCCTAAACCTGCTTAATCTATTTTGGCTGAATATTAATGCACAAACAAATCCATTATAGGCGATCACTTGAATTATAATCACATTAGCCTATAAAAGATTATTAATTATCTTATTAAGCGTGATTTCAAATACAAATTCCCTTTAATCCTGCAAGAGAGGACGTGCTCAAGCAACAACAGTAATAATATAAAGCAACATAATAATAATGAATCATAATACAACAATCATCATCATCAAAATAATAATCTCAAAGTATGATAATAGCAAGACCCTAAGCATGATACTAACAAGATAGAAGAAAATAGGAAGCAACCTAAACATGATACTAGAAAGCAATAAATAACATCCTAATATGATACTAGGATTTAAAATACGGAAATTTCACCAAATGCCCCTGAGTTATTTTTTTATTCACCAAATACCCATCAAAACTTTCAAATTCACCAAATACTCCTGAGTTTAAGAAAAATGTCACCAAATGCCCTTAATGACTAATGGCGGTTAACACCGTTAGTCATTAAAGACTAATATGCCATGCGGCAGCCTCTAATTAGTTGTTGTAATATTAGTTAATTAATTATTAAAAAAAATTTAAAATTTAAAAAAAAAACATTACAAAAATTAATTTTTTTTTTTAAAAAAAAACCTCACCACCCCCAACGGCCCACCACCAGCCACCACCCCTCCCCCTGCGCCGGTGGTCCATTTTCGCTGGCGAGGGCAACCCCCCACCCTCCGACACCCCCTCCCCTACCCCATTCCCTTCTCCCTGCGTTTTCCCCTCACCTTAAACCCTTCCCCTACCTCGAAAAACCCCCCATCCTTCACGGCCGGCGCCTAAACACCCTCCCCGGCGCCAGTAAACCACTTTCGCCCCACCCCCCGCCATCCCCACCCCCTTTCCCCCCTAAACCACCACCCTAAAAACTAGAAACCCCCCAAATCGAAAAAACCCCAAATCAAAATCTAGGGTTTCGATTTGGGGGGTTTTCGGTTTTTTTAGGTGGTGGTTTAGGGGGGAAAGGGGGTGGGGATGGCAAGGGTGGGGAAAAATTGGTTTGTCGGCGCCGCGGAGGGGGTTTGGGCACCGGCCGTGAAGGAGGGGGGGTTTTCGAGGTGGGGGAAGGGTTTAAGGGGAGGGGAAACGGAGGAGAAGGGGCTGGGGGTAGGGAGAGGGTGGGGGGTTGGCCTCACCGGCGATTATGGACCCTCGGCGCAGTGGGGAGGGTGGGATCTGGAGGTGGTGGCTGGTGGTGGGGTTTTTTTTTAAAAAAAATTAATTTTTTTTATTTTTTTTCAATTTTTAAAGTATTTTTTAATAATTAATTAACTAATATTATAACAACAAATTAGAGGCTTCCACTTGGCATATTAGTCATTAATGACTAACGGTGTTAACCGTTGTTAGTCATTAAGGGCATTTGGTGACATTTTTCTTAAACTCGGGAGTATTTGGTGAATTTAAAATTTTTTATGGATATTTGGTGAATAAAAAAATAACTCGGGGCATTTGGTGAAATTTTCGTTTAAAATAATCTAAACATGATTTCTATAGAAATATAGCAATAAAAATAACTTACTTTGTTGCCTTGTATCTCTTTCTAATAACAAAATACACATGTTAGTAACTTCAAGGAAAATATTAAATCAAACAATTAATTTAAATAATTGAAATAGAGATTTGGGACCAAACCCTCAGAAATTATCAACCTTTCACATCTAGGTCAAAGGCAACTTTGAACTTGGCTAGGTGTGTCTATAACTCGTGAATGCTTTATTTTTATTTGATAAGAGAAGACTTAGAAAGAGGCAGAAAGAATAAGCTTCTAGCTTGAGAAAGAGAAGAGAAAGATGATTGTTGATGATCAAGCTTATTGATACTTGAAAAGTCCGGGGTGATAGGCCCTCTAGTTATAAGGAAAAAAGAGGGTCGAAGGAATAGAAGAGAATCCGAATTCGAATCGAAATAAAACTCGACTGTCAGCAGTTTTTACAAATTTTGTTTTTATCATAACTTTTGATCCAAAAGTCTAAATAAGGCATATAATATGTCGTTGGAAAGCTCTTTATGTTGACTTTCCAATATAATTAAAATCATATTAAAATCTTTAATATTTTGTAGAATAAAAGATATGGCCGAAATAGTGGGACGGTGTCAATTTTGAATAGACTTTCGTATTTGTTTCATATATTTTTCGTTATATATTGGAATTAATATTATAATATATCATTTGAAAGAAAATATCAATATTAATCCAACCATATAAGATTCGGATAAAAATAATTAGGCACGAAAATAATATCTTATCATCTTTGAACATCTTTCATTTCGAATAAAATTAGGACTTAAAAAAGGAAAGTTTTATCCAATTTCAATCTCTTTAATCTTATCTTTTTTAAAAAGGATAATTAAAATATTTTAAAAACTTATAGAATCTTATAATAAATCCTTATTAGTTTAGGGTTGGGATTTAACCTTTGAACCCCCCACATGATCATTGAGTCGTACGTAAAATCCAATTTGGGCCTAGTTTAGTATTTTAGCCATAACTTCCTTATTATTCGTCGGAATTGGGCTTATAATATATCATTGGAAAGCTCTTTTCAAACGCAATCCAACCACATTATTGGACCAAATCAAATTGGACTGAACATTTTCAATAAATAGAAAAGTATTTTTATTAAAACAGCCGCATCACAAGACTTTTCACACTTTCACTTCGTTCGATAATCAATGACGTGAAAGGTATTCATCACTGGGTTTTGTTTTTGGGGAGACACAATTATTTTTCTACAAGAACGATGTCTGCAAATAACTCAAACAACCAATTCTCGTTACGCTGAATTCTCAACAAGGAGAAGTTGAGTCGGCTAAATTTTCTTGATTGACAAAGGAACTTGCGTATAGTTCTCATGTAAGAGCAAAAGGAATATATCCTTGATGAGGAAATGCCCGAAACTTCGAATGAGGAGGTTACTCAGGCTGCCCTAAACCAATGGCACATTGCCAATCGGGATGTCAAATGCATTAATGTGGCCACAATGTCTCCCGAGCTTCAAAAGAATTTCTTTGAGAAGGAGACAGCTTTTGAGATCATTTCTGAGCTGCAGAACATGTTCCAAGAGCAGGCCTGAACTAACAAGTTTGAAACTCATAGGCATATGCTTGAGAGAAAGCTCAAGAAAGGAGAGTCTGTCAGCCCACATGTACTCAATATGATAAGATTATTTGAAACCATGGGAAGGCTTGACGCGGGGTATTCAATCGAGATGGCAATTGACATCATTCTCCACTCGCTGCACAAAGGCTATGATCAGTTCAAGATGAACTATAAACATGCATAGCATGGAGAAAACCCTCACCGAGCTTCATGGTATGTTGAAGGAAGTCGAGCAAACGCTCAAGGATGAGGGGAAGCATGATATGCTCATGATAAAAAAGGGAAAGCCTTTTAAATTCTCAGGCAAGAAGAAGAAAGGCTTTAAGAGGAAGGGTAAGAAGAAGACCTTTCCGCCAAAGCGTAAGGCTACCAAGGATAACAAGGAGAAGAAGGTAGAATCTTCTAAATCTAATTCTGAATGCTTCCATTGCAAGAAGAAGAAACATTGGAAGAGATATTGCCTCAAATTCAAGGAAGATAAGAAGAACGGAACCGTTACTTCTAGATCAGGTATATTCGTTATAGACTTAAAGTTCGCTAGCTCAACATCATGGGTATTAGATACCAAATGTGGCTCACACCTTTGTTCCAATCCTCAGGGACTAAAGAACATTAACAAGCTAGGGAAGGGAGAGGTTGAAATCCGGGTTGGCAATGCAGCCAGAATTGCAGTCGTATCCGTAGGAACTCTGATTTTGTCTTTGCCTTTGGGGATAGTTTTGGAACTTTAAAACTATTTTTATGTTCCCAACATTACCAAAAACATTATTTCAATTTCGGCGTTGGACGCCAAAGGTTTTAAGTTTCGGGTAAAGGACAATGAATGTTCGTTTTTATCTCGATAATGTTTTATATGGTATTGCACATTATGAATATGGTCTTTATATGCTTTCTTTAGACAAACAAGTTTATAATGTGAATAATACCACCAAGAAATCTACGACTATGGAGTCAAATCAAACGTACTTGTGGCATTTTCGTCTTGGCCACATTAACATTAAATTCATCAAGAAACTTGTACATGAAGGTGTTCTTGACTCATTCGATTTGCAATCGTTTGAGAATTGCAAAGGATGTTTATTAGGCAAGATGATTAAGCAGCCATTCTCCAAGTTTGGAGAAAGGGCAGGTGACTTGTTGGGCCTGATACACACCGATGTAAGTGGACAAATGAGCTCCACCACAAGAAACGGACACTGATATTTTATCACCTTCACAGATGACTATAGTAGATATGGCTATGTCTACCTTATGTCGCATAAATATGAATCGTTTAAAAAGTTTAAAGAATTTCAGAGTGAAGTTGAAAATCAGCTTGGCAAGAAAATAAAAGCCCTTCGATCGGATTGAGGTAGTGAATACTTAAGCCAAGAATTTGATGATCATCTGAAAGATAAAGGTATACATTTTGAATTAACACCTCCAGGAGCTCCTTAGTGGAATGGAGTATCCAAAAGGAGAAATCAAACCATGTTGGACATGGTACGATCAACAATGGGTCTTAGTGATCTTCCTATCTCTTTCTGGGGACACGCACTTCTAACTACACCACTAACACTGAACCGTG